GTTCAGTGGAAGTGCCTTGACACTGCAGGACTCCAGCTGTTGTTGGCATGCAATACAATTTGGAACAGATGCAAAAGAATGTTTTCGTGCTATTGGTCCCACTCACATTACGAGGAAATGCCCAAGTGTCCACCAAATCATTTCCTCGTGGCACCCAAGGCCTTCAGAGAAGCATCTTAATTCTCTCAGTTTAAGATGAGCTTCAACCATTTATTCATAACGATAATTCCATCATAAAACACCTTATTTTTCAACAGAAAAAAAGCCAAGTGTTTTCATCCTGCCCACTGACACCTGCGCCAGCAACAGCTCCACATCTCAGTCAAGGACAGGGCAGACAGTGCATGAGTCAAAGCAAAGATTTACCCCTAAACACACATGCAGTGTTGTAATAATGTAAATCCGGCAGCTCGATGTCTCTCCTGTACACTTAACAGTATCAAATGTAATACTGATAATAATAATGATAAAAAAGAAGAATTACTTTGAAAGAGCACAAGTAGCATATCGTAACCTCAGCACTCAGACCAAAAAGCTTGTTTTATGGATGCAGACCCCTCTTAAATGAAGGGATGCTTCAGTTTTAAATATTTTCATCACAATTAACTCTGCAATTTCCTCTTTACCATTATTTAGTTAATTCTAACCTGTAAAGATAAAAGATATCTGATTTCTGCTATCAAATACAAGCCTAAAATACATCTGAATTACAGATTCATTTTAAATGTGGGAAAAAAAAAGCTTTACTCCCCCTGCATAAGCTAACAATTGTCAGCTCACAAGAAACAGCATATGAAGCTTAACAGCTTTTCATTTATTTAAAACCAAAGTCATTCCAGGGAGGGCAGGAACTCCAGCATACCTCTGCATTTGGTCTGGGACAGATTTGACAATTCCAGGCGTCCACACGTAAGAAGAAGAGAGGAGAAGACAGGAACAGCCCTGTTATATTCAGCTTCTCCTCTGCCACTGAGATTCAGAAGGAAGCAAAACAAGCAACTTGGCACCTCGAGATGTATTTGTTTGCCACCAGGTCAACACATAGCAGGCATCTTCCAGTCTTAGATATAGGTTGACTACATTCTATTAAAGAAAGTGGATAAAACTAAAGGAGATCTTATCTAAACATAGTAGAAAAATACTCCCATATTGAAGGTTTCACCTCACAGTCAGAAGGTACAAAATTGATGTTTCATACATAAAATAATCAGAGCAGATGAAGACTATGCAGCAGCTTACCCCAGCCCTCATCCTGTTTCCCTTTGTTAGAAGAAGCAAGCAGCAGCAGCAAATTAACTGCTCAGTATTCAAGCCCTATTTCTGGTGGGTTGCATTTAATATATATCAGTTTGACATCTGGTTTGTCACATATGCCACAAGGTATGTTGTGCTGTCAGCTACGAGCACTGAAAGGAAGGAACAGAAGGGGCAGGCGTAAGGGAGAAACAGCCCAGTAACCACTGCAGCTAAAACAAAGTATCAAGAAAACAGCTGGAGGTCCCTAAGGAAATAACCTGTAATAAAGAACTTTCCCAAAGCTGCAACTCTCTTGTGGAATATATTCCATAACACACATTTCTAAGACGTACCACCTTGGGAAGCCTATTTTGCATCAAGAATCTAATTCAGTAGCACTAGCTAACACACACATCATCCCTCTACTGTGCTCAGAAGGGCTCTGCAACCTTCAAGCAACTGAAGCATCAACCAGCATCGCAACATTAGTCCCTGCATGAAGTCAAGCATGGCCTCCTGCTTCACTAAGGCCTCTGAGCATTTATAGGCACTGGACTTCATATAAAGGAATTTTTCCTCACAGCATTTGACTAGAAGAGAAGAATACCAGAAATTCTAACTAGTAATTTTCCCCATGAGCTCAGTAATGGCTTTGAGGTGTAAGGTAAGTACACACAGCTACGGTGTTAGATGGCATTATGATTTGTGAGTCACTTCAGATTTCATGCTTTCAGAGACACTTAACCTGAAATCTCTTCCCTGATACTCAGAAAAAACACTGTTTGGTAACAAGCTTATCATTAGAAAAGAAATATATTTAAAGAGGTATTGCTTCAGTTGATGATTCACAACCATTTTCAACACACGAAAAACAATACTGTAGCAGTAATTTCCTGAATCACTTAATAATACATGAATGCTCATTTGCCTCTAGTTAAGCTCCAGAGGTGAGGCGCATCTTATCACCACCTTACACTTACAAGCAGGTCATGGAATCTGAGCATGCAGTGCCCAGAAGCTGGCTCTGAATAACACCACTTGAATGTCACTCCCACTTCTGGTAGTTGATTCTCTCGCAGGGTGGAGAGGACAGCATCACCGCCCCAGTTTAAGCAGCAATTACTTCGGGCCATGCTCAGTCTGGCACCAGTGCCCAAAGCATCATCAAAGCCAACACTGCATGAATTAGAAGTTTTCACCCACGGAGATTCTCTCATTCCCTTTTCTACTGATAGCAAGGAATTCAGCATCTTTAAGCATCTTACATAATTCATCTCCACGACAGCAATAAAACCATGCTGTAAAATACACGCTACACTGTGCTGCCAGGAGTAGCCAAGCAAAGCATAAACAGGGTAAGTTGGAAGTAAACAGCAGATCAAAATCTGAGTGCAAGGCATTTAAAGCAGGGCTGAACAACATATTTTGTCACCACGCTGAAAAATAGTAACTGAGGACAGCAAGACACCTAACATAGACTGCAATGCCAAATGATTCAGCTTTCCTGCAAGTGACTCAATTACTGCTTTCACTTCACACAAACACCACCACGAGATATCTTGTAAACGTATGAAGACATCTTTTAACCTTGGGCCAGCCTCAGACTTTGCTTATAGCAAACATTTATCAGTTTACAGGTGTTTTGTCTGGTTGTGCTTTCTCATTTTGGGTTTTTGTTGTTTGGTTGATTTTTGTTTTAACTCAAGTTATGTCCATGATTTGAAGAGGTCAGAAATAGAGCTTTCAAGATCAGCAAGTTTTTGAACATGCCTTTATACTTGGGGGATGAGAGCACTACAAAGCTCAGCTTCAGCCCTTCAGACTTCAACTCATCCTATAAAACAATACTTTGCAGGGTTTGCCAGTATTACCTGTTTCAATCCATAGGTGTGCAATGATTAATTTGAACAGCCTTCTGGGGACAGAGTAAAGCCAGTTTCCAAAAACTAGCAGAGACACATACTTAGGTGATAGCCTTTTCCTGGACTATTCAACATGCCAACGAACACAAGTTACAGCTTGGTTTTTTTTAATACGGCAGTGACTCATCACACACTAATCTATTTACTCATTGCCACTCAGTGGCCTTGATTATAACCGGTCAAATGGCCTGCTCCAAGGGTCCCCAGCTTTGTCTTAATGCAATCAAGTTACTGATCCAAGAAATTCTTCTGTTACAGAACTATTCCCTTCACATGTTTACTTTCAACACAGCAAGTACAGCACTTAATTCACAGCACTAGAACATACTGAGATCAACCAGAGCCACAGCATTGGAAAAACAAAACTGAAAATCCAGCCAAATAGGAAAGCATGACTAACAAGTGTCAAGCAGACTAGGAGACTTAACTATCACATTACTCTTCGTTAATTGGTGGATCACACACAATAGGGATCACATTCATAGTGACTGAAAATTTAAAGTCACACTGCAGACAGAACCCTGGTGAGCTACACAGACTGCAGAGCACTGGCAGAGCCCCCATGAAGCTGATGGGCTCCAGGAAATCACAGCAACAGCTGCGTGACAACAAGTCTGAAAGCTTGGGTTTACATCAATCACAACAGCCTCCAGAATTACAGTTTTACACATTTATGTTTTTATTACTTTTACATAAAAGCAAGAGCTTTTATGACAATACACAAGACGATAATTATAGCTATCTGAGTTTCTGTGAAAACATCCATTCATCGACTAGCAGTTTGCTAGCTTAACATCACCAAGTATTTTGTAAACGTGATTTATAAATTTAAGTTCTGCCAGACCTTCCACCTGAGCAGAAAAGCAGTCAGCCACGTTACACCGAGACAGACCTCAATATTATCTGAGAGATGTGAATGAACAGCGCTGACCAGATAAAAGCACCACATAGCTGGAGCATGAAGACGTAACACAAGACAGACCGGTACAAAAAAGCAGCACTGTTGATAAAACACATAGAGACATCCAATCCTACCATTAATCTAAGTCAATTCCAGCCTTGTGAAAGCTCATTAAGTGCACCATACTGAGCCAGCTGCGGCCATATACGTGCCTATATGGCTTTTTCAGCCTAGTCGCAGAGAGCTGTGAGTAATGCCATACGTTTGGTGGAATACGCAGTGACCAGGGCTATTTCCAGACTTTAAGCAGGAGATGTAGGGAACCGGGGGTCACATCAGCTTCGCACGTTCCCCAAACCAAACGCGCTCCTCGCTTCACACCCTGTCGGTGAGCACGAGGTACCGCTGCCCAGCACCGCTGCAGCGCCTCAGCTGACATAACTCTGTGCCCACAACTTCTGCTCAGCGCAGCCCGAGCCCAACCTTGGCTGGGTTACGCAGTCGCTAGAAACGTTCGCGAGCCATTTACTGCAGCGGCTGTACTCGTCCAGTTTCTCCTAGAAGAGAAAAGTGCAGAACACCCCTGCGAGCACCATCAGGCACCGCTTACATAAGGCTGACGCCAACGCAAGATAGATGGTCACTGGATCGAGTGATGCTCCGGGGGTGACCAGAGGTACCTCGGCACCGCGTTAAGCGCGCGAAGGAGATCGGCTCATCGGCTCCCCTTGGCTCACCGCGCTGCCACCAGCCCGGCCCCCGCCGCCATTCCCAGCGCTCCCCTCAGCGACCCGACCCCCCCCCCCCCCTCCGCTGCCATCTTCCCTCACCGCCCCCGACCGCCGGCACGCAGCCAGCCAGCCAGCCAGCCAGCCGCCCTCTCCTCTCCTGCCCTCTCCTGCCCTCTCCTCTCCTCGCGCGCTGCCCTGCGCCGCACCCACCGGCTCTCAGCTGCAGGCTGCCGTCCCTCCGGCTGCACCAGAGCGCCCGCTCCCCGCTCTGCAGGATGTAGTGGTCCTTGGCTTGGAACAGCTCCATCCTCGCGCCGCCGCCGTCCTCCTTCACCGTCCCCGCGGATGGGGAGCAGAGGGAGAAGCGCGCTCCGAGCCGGGCAAGCGCGCCGCCCCTCACAGAGCCCGGCGGGTCGCGACGGCTCCGCTCCGGCTCGGGGCGCTTCCTCAGACGGCCGAGAGCGCGGGTTCCGGCCCCAGCGCCGCACGTGACCGTGCCCAGCAGCGCCGCCCCGCGCTCTTAAAGCTGCAGCGCGACTCCCGCCCGTGGGGGGCTTTCGCGCCGTCCGCTGCTGGCGACGTGAGGGGCTTCTGGGAGGGGAGGGCTGCCTTCAGCGGAGCGGTCTTTTCGACGCCAAGTGGAAGTAATCTGTGGAGCTGAGGGAACCCGGCCCCGATGCGAGCCCTGAGTGAGGGGCGCTGAGCGGAGAGCCCGGTACGATCCCGGAGGGGCGAGGTGTCCGTCTGCGCTCGGTGGCGGCGCCTGAGGGCAGGGACGCCAAGCCCCAGGCCTGTCAGCCTTCCCTAATCGGGTCGTTAGTTGGAGGTGGGCAGGGGTTGGTGGGGCTCTCAGTGCCACAGCAGGGCTTCCTTGTGATGCCGAGTGCTTTAGATGGGCGTGCACCTCCTGACGCGAGGGTAACCGTGCGTCTTTCTCCCTCCAGGCAGCACCGGTTGCTGTGTGCTGGTGCCTGAAGCCCTCAGCAGAACCCCGCAGAGGTGGGCTGGAGCCCTGCTCCCCATAACGGCACTGCCAAGAGCATCCCACCATGCGTGCAGCCTTTAGGAGCAGCTGGGCGTGTTGAAAGACCATCTTCAAGGTGTCTTGAAAACTAATGTAAGTAGCTTCACACTGTGCTAGAAGGCCAATTTTCTCGTGATTTATCTCTGTGTGCCCTTCTTTCTTAAGAGAATGGTATCTTCTAAGTTCCTAGAAAGAGTTCCTCTCCAATTTTGTATTTGGTCTAAGATTTTTCTTATAAACACGATGTCAGGCCTCTGATTTGTTTTGTGCTTTTTAAGCACGCATAACTAATAGGGGAGTGGTATGAAGGAGCCAAACTCCATTTGATTTGGTAATGGATGCCCCTATCTGTCAATGTTCTCCCTAGGGTGGGGATGCAGAACACACTCTCCTTTCTTGACTACAGATCCTGGTGTTGGAAATGCTGTACGAATGCCCTGCAGCTCCCAGTGTGTCCTGTCACATTCCTGCATGTAGCAGTCAATGTCACTGGCAGAGTTATGCCAGTAATTCAGGTCACTCCTGCAGGTGCTACGCAAGAGAAGAGCTTAAATGGCTTCTCAGCATTTTAATGTATCTCTTTTGAATTGTTTTATTCTCAGTGTTCCCATAAGCACAATGTCGTGTACTTGCAAAGGCATCTCAAACATACACAGAAAGGCAGTGAAGGGATGGATTACCCTATAGATCTAATACTGAAAGATTTCCTTTGAGGAATTATGTTTAAAACTGTGCATTTAAGTAAGCACAGGCAATCAGAGCTTCCTCTTAGCATTGCCATACATGTATGTATCCATAGGGACTGATTATTCAGCTTTCAAATGCAGATTGCTGCACTACTTTCTTCTTATTTCATTAAATTCTAACAGTACAGTGGAAAAGCAGCTACTTTGTGCAGAAAGTAATATATTTTACTTGCACTAGTGTAATTTTTACATGGAATTACTGTTCAGATTAATTGTTCCACGAGGAGGTGAAGCTTTCTGAAATAACTTTTAGATGCAGACTCACATTCCAACAGACGTATAAAAATTAGATCTATGTTTTATGTCCTACAAGGAAGGCAAATGGGAGTAGTCAAGCTTATTAGCTTGTTTCATCATTGTAGGCAATAGAAAGTTTCTGGGAGGAAAAGATGGCCTTCTAAGCTCCAGAAAAAAAATAATAGCTGATGTCATGTTTAGAATTACTTCATCTTTTGCATATTCATTTATAAATAAGCCAGCATTGGAAAAAGTCCTATCAAGAAGGATCACAGAATTGTAGGGGTTGGAAGGAAACTGTGGAGTCCAACTCTCTGCTAAAGCAGGTTCCCTTCAGCAGGTTACATAGGATACTCTAGTAATTTTAAAAGTACTATAAAAATTAATTTATAGAAAGCTAGAGAGTATTCCTTTAAGCACAGAATGTATAGTGAGAAATAAAAATGTGTAGTATTTCTGTGAAGAAAAATTATTTTTCCATTTAAATATGAATATTTTTTTCCTGTAGTTCACATTGGTGTTCTTACAACTCTTACAACTGTTGGTATTTTTTTCCTGCAAAACATCCTCAGCAGTAGCAATCCAACCTCACTATTGCTCTGTGAGAGCAGCTTGAGAGTTGCAAATGATTTCAACAGTACTGGTCAAATTGACTTCTGTTTTACACAGTATCTACAGCTCATGTTTCTACTCATGTTTCACTGACTTCTAGAAAATGAAGCCACAATGTAGAAATAGCGGTATAACATGTGGGAAGCAGATAATTTGGGCAGTGGACAGCACTGGCAACCTAGAACTGTGGACAGTTTTGACCTGTTCACAATACATTATAGCTAATAAAGCCTACTGTGCAAGTTAAAATAGACAAAGCAGAGTTTACAAACGGCATCCGGCTCATAGATTTAAAGTGTCTCTGTATAAAGTGGGAAAGATCCTCACTTTAAGCCTCTTCTTAGGGTCAAGAGAAATGATATATATTCAAAAAAGTTTAAGGCTTAATGTTACACTGGGATTCTTCCTCCAGCCCACTACCATTTCCTCTATTCTTTCTTATGCATTTCTCTTTCTTTCCTGTGCTCACCTTATTTAATAAGCACTCTAATTTCTTAACATTACACACAGTACTGAAGTGTTCTATGCAAACACTGTAAACAGTTACAGTTTTCTGTCCTACTTTAATTCTTTTCATTTTTTCTGACTTTATCCTTTTCCTCTGCTTTTTCCCCTCATTCTTTTCTCTCATTCGCCTGAAGAATCTGCACTAATGGAGTAACTCCTATCTTAGTTTCTTTCCATTCTTTCTTTTCTTGCTAAATAGAAGTACACTCGGAGCAGATTTGGGAGAGCAGAAAAAGCATTTCTGATGCTGGAACACTATTAGCAGCAGGAGGTGTTTATGTTGTTACCAAATCTTCTTCTGTAGTAACTATCAAGCGAGTTGGAGTTTCAAAAGTAAAATTACACCTCATTTTCTGTACCTATTCTGATATAAGCCTTTACACAGTGGATGCTGAAACTTGCATCTCCAGGCCATCATATTATGAACATCGGCTTCAAGTACAGTCTTTTCAGCCTGTTGTGCATCTCTATTGTGAAACACTTGTTAAAGTCATGGGAGAAGGCAACAGCTGATTAAAAAAAGCAAGCTCTTCTGATTTTCTGCAGGCAGTCTTTAATCTGACCAGTGATTCCCAAGGTCTGCTTGAATGATGCAAGTTGGCAGAGTTTGGGAAACAATAGTGGTTTTGTACAACATTACTTTAAAAATAAATACTTCCTTCAGACAGAAAAAAACTGGGATAACACTTGGAAAAAAAAGAATGGCTAAGTGTAGCAAAATCTGCACTGAATCAGAGCACAGAAAGAAATAAGGTTGTAAGTATCAGCATGCCTTTTTATTTGTTGATTAGAATTGAAATTACAGGGATGTAAATAGGAAAATGATTAGGAAGTGGAGGAAGGCAAGCAGACAAAAAGGTTGTTAGAAATAGAGGATGCAGACAGTTTTCCTAGCAGAACACCACAGTGCTGGTTTTGTTTTTTTGTTTTTAATTGCAAGTGATATACTTTGTATTGCAGTAAAACAAAGCCTCACACAAGAAAAGAAGGTATTGTAAAACTTCAAACTGAATGAATAAATTGAGGAGCTAACTTGCTTGGAGACAATGTATGGCCAAACGCAAAGTTCCTGGTCTGCCAAGAAAGCTGCTTCTTTCAGCTTTTGCTACATAAAGAGGAAAAGGTGAGGAGCTGCACTGCCCTCTGGTTTTCCAAATGCTCTCCTCAGTAAAATCGTTTTTGCAGCTTCTCCTACAGAGAAGTCACCCTGTGACCCTGCAAAGAGGGACAGCACTTCAGTTACACAGTGAGTCACAGGCAGCAGGCATTTTAGTGGCAGTAGCTGCAGCATTCCCAGCATTCTGTTTCACTGAGAAATGTGTGATGAAGAAAAGAAAGATTTGAGAGTGATTTGGAGCTGAGATTCACTCAGATGAATGATGAGGCAGATATGTTAGAATTTAACTCTCAGTAGGTAGAAGGCTCTCTTCAAGCTGTCAGCTGCACACAGCTGCCTACCTGAAATATTTTGTTGTTCTTTTCTACACAGTGCAATTAGATTTCATATTGAATTTTACCCTTCCTTCCTTTCACTGTGTAAATATAAACATTTCAGTTTTACATATACTTTGAATTAATTTCCTGGTAAACCTATGAGGACTTTCAGCTAAGGTGATTACTATCGCTCTGTGAGAACAACTGACAATCAGTTTTAAAGTGACAGAAGTATGTCCTGCACCCTGCTGTGGACTTCACTCCATCGGTTAAGGAGCGGCTCCCTGAGCAGTTGTTGTGCTGTTTGTCACATCAGAGGAGAGTGGGACTCCCCATGCGGGTCATGGGACCAGCAGCTGAGGGCAGAGCTTTCCAGAATGAGTCTGTTCTGTCAGTGGCAGATCCATTTCAGGAGTTTCCCTCCCCTGCTAGAGATTTCTGCTTGCCCTTTGTCGTGCCAAATCAAGCATTCAGTCTGGACATGCTCTAGCTTGGAGGAAAGAAACCTCTGCTGACAGTGGGGGTGGACCACTGGGGAGGTAAGCCTCTTCAGCTCAGAAATAAAAAGATATACCAATTATTATTAAGCTACCAAGCATTAAACAGCATTATTTTAAAACCATGCTTTAAAATGATTGCTTTCTCTATGACACAACATTTCTCCATTAGTATTTTAATCGTGAATGTCTATTAGTTATTCTAACGTGATGTTCAGAAATGAGAAATCTCCTTATTAAATATCAACATTCAAGACGCAGGCAAGTGCTTGATTTTGAAGGGCACTAAACACCAGATCTAGAAAAGCATTTAGCTTATGCTTGACTTTGTATATATAAATGAAACATTTTTCATGAGACAGAAGCAGCTTTTGAGGTGAGCACTGTCTTCAGAACTTCTGTGGTTTAAAACTAGGAACTAAATACCTCGAAGGGTCAAAAGATAACCTTTTACTTTCATTGCCCTCTCTTCCTGAACAGTCTGCACCTTCATTTAATATACATTTATCATTGCCATTTACAACAGCATCTCCATTCTGCATGCATTTGCTGAGTAATTTGGTGATGTAGTGCAGTGCATAGGGCTATGCTGTTAAAATAATTCAGAGCTCCTTGCTCTGAAGGAGACAGAGCAAGGTTGAGTCTGAGTCTGAATCTGAGACAAACTCAAGGACAGACTTTGCTTTGCCTTTGTCCACCATTTGGTTAGGGCATTTTTTTCCCCTTGGGGAGTTTTCTTTTTACATTCAGCATGTTTTCCTGAGATCCAGAGAAGGGCAATGTTTTCATAAGCCTCAGCAAGAATAAAAAAAAAGAAAAAGGAACTTTGCATTTGCATTTTTACAGTTCATTGACAATAGCTAATGGGAAGGAAATGTGTGGGCTGGCTATTAGTTATGCACTCTCACTCTCAATATTACCCCATTGCCCGCAGTTTGGTTTCAAGTTTAAACGTTGATTAATGGGAGGTGATCTGATTTGGCAACAGTCCACACTTGAAAGTACAGCTAACTGAATAGCTTATATAAATGCACAACTCCTGCTGAGACGAATGGCATCA